AGAGCAGCCTGGCAGCAAAGGAAAAGTCTGTGGGTTTGTAGCAGTAACCCCAGGTAATCACACTCCTCGGCTTCCTGCCAGGCATGGCCACGTCTCCTTTGGTCCTGTTTGCCCTGGCCCAGGCACACAGACACAACAGGCTTGGCTCCTCCTTCACCCCGTGCCAGTTCCCGGTCCGGCTTCAGCTGGCAAAGTGGGCTCCTGAAGGCTTGGGGGCATAGAGATTTCTGGAGAAGAAGAGGCCACTCGGGCAGACAAGCTTTAGGCTTCTCTTCGTCCGGTCGCCCCACTCAGCCCCATCTCTCCAGGGCAGCCGGATGACAGGAATCAGAGGCTAATGGTTAAGCCCCAGAACGGGGAGATTTGGGTTCTCTCCAAGGCTCTGGCACTGACTCACTGGGCAGCCTTGGGAAAATCCCGGCACAGCGGTAAAGCAGGGCTGGCGATACTGCCGAGGGGAGCGTTGTGGGCTTGACTTCGGGTCTGTAAAACGCTTTGAGTTCAACAGCGAAGCGGCCCTAGAGAAACGCAACGCTAATGAATATTCTTCTGAAGTGCCTGACAGCCTCAGGGCCACGCCTGGCTCACGTTCCTGGCCCGCTGCTTTGACCATCTCTCGCTCATACACACACCTCCCAGCTCCACCCACTGGCTCGCTTGTCCCCAGTGCATTAAATAACCCAGATTTCTTGGCCTTTCCTTTAAGGCACTTCCCTTCCCACCTGCTCTGGTATCCTCCCCTGGCATCCCTCTCCCACACCCGTGGTGCCAGCCTCTGTCACTCATTCGGCTGCTTCTGCCAGCCCCTGGCACTTTCTGCCCGCTGCTCCTTGTCCACCGAATGCTCTCCCCAAAGCCTCTCCCTTCTCCTCTGTCAAACCTTCCTCGAGATCTGCTGCCATTGCACCGTCTGCAGCACGTGGCCACGTGCCAGGGCCAGCCCGGAGAGCTCTGGGGAGCGTTCAACCCTCATGTTTGCGTGTGTCATTAGAACCATTTTGACTCAGCCTGAAAACCAGGTGCCCAGCTAGGCTGGGTCCCCAAAGAGCCTCTCCCCACTGCCCTTCCCCTTCCTGTTTGTTGCAACCCTGTGTCTGTCTTACAACAGATGTAACCTCGTCTCGGGGGAAGGGACAGGCTCTCACCCGGTGTCTGTGGAGCACTGATCCCAGCTGAGGGCCCGGGGTGCCCGATCCCAATGGTAAAGGGGTCTGGGGGGCCTGTATTAAAGGGCTGTTCCCGCTGAGCTCCTGTAGCCCTTTTAAGACTAGGGAGCGCTTGCTGTTCTCGGTGGGGGCCCACCGTCAGCAGTGTTTTCTGGGGCCCGCGGTGAAGGGCGTTGAGCGTAGCAGCAATTTCTCGTCCAGGAGGGTCCGGGGCGTTTAGGGTCAGACTTTCACATGAGGCAGGTGCCTGTGAGCTAGCACCAGTTCCTGACTGTGCACACACACGGGTACCATGGCCCACCTGTGCGCTATCCCCGACACTGCCTCTGTCCGGGACAGAGGCAGATTAAGGTTTTGTGGGGCCCTGGACTAGAGCAAGTGGGGGGCCCCCTCCCCTTCTACCTGTGCCCTGCCCCCTCCTGCCACTGTGGGCCCAGAGCTCCTCCAGTCCCTGGCCAGCAAGGTGAGCTCTGTCTCCAGCTGGGCACTACCAGGGCCAGGCGTTACATGGTGCTCAGCACCGCGTGTGCCCACCAGCGCCACGCACGGAGTGACACCGGGGGCTACGCTGGGGAAGGCAGCGCCTGTGCCACAAAGATGATGACTAAAGGCAGCTGTTTCTCTGCCCTCCTCGGCGGTTACTAATCCTTTAACGCCCAGGCAAAGCAGGTCTGGCACCTCCCTCTGCCAGCACCGCACACCCTCCCCCTCCGCTGCATCCTGCCTGAGCGCCAGGGCGGAGACAGGTTCCTCCGACAGGGGAAAGGGCTCCACTGCTCCATGGCTGCCCCACAGCAGGTACGAGGATTGTGTTCCCCGGGAGCTCCCCCAAGGAAGCAGCTATGCTGGCCTGGCCTGGTCTGGCAGCAGAAGGGGATGCATCCCCACCTGGGGACAGACAGGGCAGGGTCAGGGAACAAAGCCAACTCCTGGCCAGCACTCAACGGGAAACAGGCAGTACGGCGTGTTTAGTCCCACACTCGTGAGCTGAGTGGGGAGGCCTCTTCCCAACCACTTCTGCAGCTGTCCCAGTGCCCAAGTCAGGGATCTGCCCATGAACAGGACTAACTAGATTCCTGCATGCAGACAGCTCACACGGTGCCCAGCCCCTGCTTTACCTATACACCCTCCTCCAGCCTGGAGAACACCCCCAGCACCTCCTGGGCAGCACGGGCGTTTGCACAATGCAGTAGGAGCAGCTCAAGGCAGGATGGAGAGATGCTCTTTGCAAACCAATTAGCTAATATGTTTAAAAACCCTGGTGCAGCAGCATCTTCCACCCCCCATTCCCTGCTCGGGAGCTGGGATCCATCCCAACCAGCTGGCAGGTTTTGAAAGGGGCTGCCCCCAGCCTGCACTAGGAGTGGCAGAAAGTGGAGTTTAAACAGGTGTGTTAGAAGGTGGTAACTCGCTTTCCCTCCTCTATCCAAGGCCGAGAGAGGACCAGAGGGAAGGAGGGGGATACTTGTGAGCTAGATGATGGCAGGAGGAATGGGCTAGCAGCTGGAAGAGAGCCTGAGGGGACGGACCACAGAGCTGTCCTGTTCCAGCCCCGCCCGGGAGCGAGGGCTGCAGGCCGTAGCACTGGAGAGCAGAGGGTTAATACTGCACTCCATTGGAAAGAGGGGACAGGGCACTGCAAGCCAGCTGATAAAATGCACATGGTACTTAGCTGGAGACTCACCCAAGCCCGAGGCAGCAGTGCCAGTCTCCCCAGGGCATGCCCTGCTGCAGATGGGCACTCGCTCCCTAAGCCAGCCCAGGAAGTAAGAGCCATCGGCCGCTTCCCTCCAGGAAGAGCCCAGAGAATCCAGGGCAAGGCCTGCAGGACAGGGCTGGCTCCTGCCTAGGTCAGCGTGGGAGGGGAGAGCTACAGGCAGGAGGCTGACGTGGCCCCTGCCTCTTGCCCCAGACACCAACTGCTCTTCAGCTTTCCCCAGACCAGCCTCATCCCTCTGACCACCAGCAACCCCCCCTCCCCACCCCCCCTTTACAGAGCACGGCTAAGCCAAGATTCTGCCGTGCTCTCCACCCCAGTCGTGTCTCAGCCAGGTACCGGCCTGCTGGCAGCTGGAGTATCGTCCCTGCTAGCGTTTGGACCCGAGACTTGACAGTGGCCTCCTAGCGTAGAACCACGTCGGCTGAGGGGTAGAGTAGGAAGCTTGAACCGAGGAAGGCCCCTGCAGCCCTGGGCCTGCCGTGGGGTGCACAGACTTGCACAGTCATCCATTGTGTAAAGGGAAAGCTGGAGAGATGGTGGCAACTGTGCCAACAGACCCCTTGCAATGAAGCTCAGGGCCTAGGCATCAGCCACCGCTTCCAACCCAAGCCAGTCTGGAGGTTCCCCCCAACAGGGTGGTTCTATCCTACCCCCAGGGCAGGACCAGCTCGGGTGCGTTGGGCTGAATTCTAGGGCTTTGACAGGGGCTGTTCCACCCTTCCTCAGCCATGGAACGTGCTGCAAAAATCCAGCCATGGCACTGACCGGAACACGCTCCAGCACCCAAGCGCCTTTGGGCCAGGAATGGAGGCGCAGGATGGGCCGCGTCGAGTCTGCAGAGCCTGAAACAATCGCTGAGATGGGAACTACCCATTAGTTATTCCACTTCTGAATTTCCCCAGCCCACATGTGGGATGAGCACAATTCCAGACAGCCTGCCAGCATGCCACATAGGGTGACCAGATGTCCCAATTTTACAGGGACAGTCCCAATACTTGGGGCTCTCTTATATAGTCTATTACTCCCCACCCTCTGTCCTGATTTTTCACACTGGCTGTCTGATCACCCTAAGGCCACAGGTCCCCTGTCACCCTGCCACCTCCAGCACCTGCCTCCCCTTCTGCAGAGCAGTTATCAAACCGCACACCCATAGTGTAGGGGCGAAGTGCAGTGTATGTGGGGGACAGTCAGCCCAGGCTGCGTCTGGAAGAGCCTCTGCTGTCTGCTTTACCCCCGGCTGCGGAGTTGGCCCAGCCTGCTGCAAAGCCCCCACGGCTGGGCTAGCCTGGGGCAGGGAACTGAACTCCTGCCAGAAAAGCCTCTCCGGAGGATTCTGCAAGCCTTTGCTCCCACATTTGTCCTTTGGCCCCTCTGCCAACTCAGACCCAGGGTAGGGCTCGGGGGTGTCAGGACGGAGGATAAATGAGTCTTACAAGCAGACAGTCGCCCCTGCTAACTCCAGCAACTCAGTTGCAGGGATGTTTGGGGGGGGAGGGGTGCAGGCCTGCCAATGGGGCAGGGGTGTGGAATTGCCTTGGTGGGCTGCAGGGCTCCTAGGTGCGCAAGGCCGCTCTGGGCCTGTGCTTTGCAGGGCCCCACAGGCCGTCCTGGAAGTGATGGATTAGTCACTTCCACACCGGGCTCTGCCCCACCCCAGGCCCGGAATTTCTGTCACGGCCTGAGGGGGAGCGTCACCTTCGCCCAGTTCTACTCCACGGAGGAGCAGACTAAACTGGCGGGGAGTCCTCAGCAGGCACAAAACAAGCTGTCCTGTGCATGACCCTTGTGGACAGTTCTAGGAAGAGATGTCTGGGGTGGCACAGAAGGGCCTGCCTGCTCCGGAGGCTCCTCCCATAGGGATTCAGGCTGGCATTGCAAAGCAGCTTAAGGCCCCCTCCCAACTCCCACGACTCATTAGGCTCCTCCCAAACCCTTCGCTTTAGCCCCCCCGCCGGAAATCAAATGGATGTGCTGCCTGGGGCGTGGAGAAGGACAGCACCCCCACTCCGCTCTCAACTGACCAGCGGCATTGCCCTGCTCCCCACCAAACCCACCTGTCTGATGCCCCATCGCCAAGTCCTGGGGCTGGAACAAGGAATGTCTCGCATAGGATGTACTGGACAGCAATACATTTATTACGTATTCCAAAAAAATAAAAATCGACACAAACCAGTAAAAAAAAAGAAAAAGAAAATCAAACATCAGGGTCATCGACATGATCAGAGTCATGAGGACGGGCTACAGCTGCGCTAACTCAAGGATGGGGAGGGGAGATGGTTAGTAAATACGGAAGGATTTAAAATTTGGAACCCTTAATCAGAAGCAACTAAATAGCAGTTGTCTAGTACTCAGCTAACAGGTAGCGAAGATGGAGGACTACGCTGGACAGTAGGGTGCTGTAGAAGCTTGACCTTCATGGTAAGAAACTTGACACAGGCCAACTCTAGAGGCTTCACTTGGCACCCTGGGCCTCAGATTCCTCCTCGTCGTCTTCATACATCTCCCCTTCCTCTTCAGCTGTGGCATCCTGGTACTGCTGGTACTCTGACACCAGGTCATTCATGTTGCTCTCTGCCTCTGTGAACTCCATCTCGTCCATGCCCTCGCCCGTGTACCAGTGCAAGAAGGCTTTGCGTCGGAACATGGCGGTGAACTGCTCTGAGATGCGCTTGAAGAGCTCCTGGATGGCCGTGCTGTTCCCAATGAAAGTGGAAGACATCTTCAGCCCCCGGGGTGGGATGTCGCAGACTGCCACCTTGACGTTGTTGGGGATCCACTCTACGAAGTAGCTGCTGTTCTTGCTCTGGATGGCGAGCATCTGCTCATCCACCTCCTTCATGGACATGCGGCCTCTGAAGACTGTGGCCACTGTCAGGTAGCGTCCATGCCGTGGGTCACAGGCGGCCATCATGTTCTTGGCATCAAACATCTGTTGGGTGAGCTCGGGGACGGTTAGGGCTCGGTACTGCTGGCTGCCACGGGCTGTGAGGGGGGCAAAGCCTGGCATGAAGAAGTGAAGGCGAGGAAAGGGCACCATGTTGACTGCCAGCTTCCTCAGGTCAGCGTTAAGCTGGCCAGGGAATCTCAGGGAGGTGGTGACGCCGCTCATGGTGGCGGAGACCAGGTGGTTGAGGTCACCGTAGGTGGGTGTGGCCAGTTTAAGGGTTCTGAAGCAGATGTCATACAGGGCCTCGTTGTCGATGCAGTAGGTCTCATCCGTGTTCTCAACCAGCTGGTGGATGGATAAGGTAGCATTGTAGGGCTCCACCACCGTGTCGGACACCTTGGGGGAAGGCACCACACTGAAAGTGTTCATGATCCGGTCGGGGTACTCTTCACGGACCTTGCTGATGAGGAGGGTACCCATGCCCGAACCAGTGCCACCGCCCAGGGAGTGGGTGAGCTGAAAGCCCTGCAGACAGTCACAGTTCTCACACTCCTTCCTCACCACATCCAGGACAGAGTCCACCAGCTCAGCACCCTCTGTGTAGTGCCCCTTTGCCCAGTTGTTGCCAGCACCGCTCTGACCTGTGGGGAGAAGACACAGTGGATCTCCTCGCTTCCATCAGTAGGGAGTCAGGTGTGACCAGTGACCAGAGCCTTTTGCTGCAGGAATTCGGTCTCTCCTGGGCGTGCCCAGCACTGGGTTTAACAGACACTATGTGCCAGGGAGGGCTGCTGTACTGCAGAGCTGGGCTAGGAGAGGCTAGATGTTGCATGAGAAGAAAGCGTGGGAGCTGCTTGGATCAACCCTCTCAGGCTGGCACCACCTACCACAGAGCAGCCATGTGCAAGTCTGGAGGCCCTGGAAGGCAGAGGGGCTCAGCCCCCTGCGGTGACGCCTATGGCATGAGGCTGCCCTGACCTCTCTGCTTTCCCCACAGCTGAACTAGGCAGCCCCAGGGAACGGGTTACAGGCTAGTTGTGTAGCAGGGCAGGCACTGGGGAGCCAACCGCTGAATGCCTGAGATCTCAGAACAGAAAAGAAACAAAATTCAGTCTTGCCTAAGGGTAGAGCCCCGAAGGGCAGGGGTGGGGTACGGGACGGGGAACGGCAGGGATGGTTGTAGTGAATTCGGAGATGCTCTGCACGTGTTTCCTGGGCAATGGGAGAGATGGGGCTAAGTTCCTGTGTAGGCATCGAGGGCCCTGCAGAATTGTGGTTTGCAGCTGAGCTCTTCCTCCCAGCACTTGATCACATGCTCCTCTGGGCAGATCTCCACTACTGCTTATGTCACTATAACTTAGGTCGCTCGAGCCACCCCCTCCAAGCGACGCAAGTTACAGAGACCTAAGCACGGTCCACACAGGTGCTATGGGGGCGAGAGACGCTCTCCCGCCCACGCAGCCCCTTGCACAGGTGGAGTAATTCTGCCGGCAGGAGCGTGCTCTCCCGTCAGCACGGAGCCGACGTAGCACTTCTCGCTTAGACAGGCCCTGGGAGAGCAGAGAACAAGCAGCATTTTCCTACTTTCCCCTGCCTTCAGCGTCATAGGGAGGAAAATCAGCGCAGGGCTCAGCGTCCCTGTTCAGTGACCTTCCCACAGGTTTGGCTAGACTTTCTGCCCTGGGCTGATCAGCTGTTTGCTCCAGCCTCAGCCCCTTCATCTCAGCTACACCCCGCTCCCTACCCTCATCACCCCGTCCCACTCACCCAATTCCCCCCCACGTCCTCTCTTCCTTCACTATCCCCCCCCCCAAGCTAAACTCACCTCCCTCCAAGCAAGGTGGTTCTAACAGGCCATTGGCCCCATCACTGGTCACTGGCTGTGCTAGTCCCCTTCCCCCACCCTGGGTCTGGCTGCTCTACAGAGACTAAACTCTCCTGGGCTGGGACCATCTCCACTCTGTGCAGCACCTCACGCTAAGTGGCCCGTAGGCACTACTGGACTAGCAGGGAGGCAGCGATATGGCCCAACGAGAGGTGACAGCAGGCAGCTGTGTCGTGGGGAGCAGGGTGAGGGAGCTCTGGGGAGCAGCTAGGATGGACCAGCTAGTGGCCAAGAGGAGCACCACACAGGGTAGGACAGGGTTAGAGCAGCAGCAGGGGACTGGGACGTACCAAAGATGAAGTTGTCAGGTCTGAAGAGATGTCCAAATGCCCCCGATCGAACGCTGTCCATGGTGCCAGGCTCCAGGTCCACCAGGATCGCACGGGGTACGTACTTGTGAGCTGGAAAAGAGACCACATGTTCCCTCTTAACTGGCAAGGCGCCATGGGACCAGCTTCCACTGCTTGGCCTTAGCGTCCAGAAGAACCAGCTCGTCTGCTGAGACTCCAACCTCTGCCCCGGGCATTGGCAGCACCCTCTAGTCAGTGGTGCTCCAGTCCCCATTAAACCTGGGCCCAGCTCGTTACGTTCCGCGGGCTGGAGCTTCGGCACAGGGCCGTTTGGATTTGGGGACAAGCGGAGAACTCGCAGTGCACTGGGGCAGGGTTGGGAACTTCCCCAGTACTACACCACTGCACCCCTGAAGGCATCTCCTCCCTTCCGATGAGCTGCCACAAAGGGAAGAAGGAGCACAGGCAGCGGTCATATCCCCTCTGGCCAGGTGGGGCACTCGCAGCAACAAGCAAACCACCAACTGAATTTCACTTGGCCCCACCCCCATGCCAATGCCCATTCCAGACAGACGAGTCAGGGGCCTGCTTTGCCCTCCTGTTGACCCCAGCAGCCGGCTCTGCACCACAGTAACCACCCGGCATCACCTTAACCTCCTCCAGCTGGGATGAGGAGAGGGAACTATTCCCAGAACAATCCTGCAAGCCAGCAGGGCACACTCCAGGAGAGATGCAAGGCTCCCAGTGCTCCCTGGGTGCTGGACATGCCACCCGCCGCGTTCCCACACCTTGGGGAGCAGGCGGCCATGGAAGGGCCCGGCCAGGCATCCCAGAACAGCTCCCCACCTGAGCACAGCGGGAGAGGAAGCTCAGGGTAAGTACATGCATCCCCGGGCAGCACTGTTAAGGGCCAGAGAGGAAACCCCGTGACACATCACATACTGCTCCAATCAGCCTGGCCCGGGAGGAGTGCAGCAGCCAGCTCCGGACTTACAGGAAGCCTCATTGTAGTAGACACTGATCCGCTCCAGCTGTAGGTCAGAGTCTCCCACGTAGTTCCCACTGGGGTCTATCCCGTGCTCGTCGCTGATCACCTCCCAGAACTGCAGAAAGAGCAGGGGACATTCAGGAGGGGTGTAGCTGTGGGCACCCGGGCAGGGACAGGCCCCGCATTGAGCTAGGAGGCGTGCCAGAGAACACAAAGCCAAACCGCTCCACTCCAACAGCCAGCCAAAGATTTCAGCTTGGCCTGTGTGCAGTGAATCCTGGCACCCGGGAGCAGGACCAGAATCCGGTTCTGAAGTGGACCCTGCCCCCCTACACCTTAATGCAGGGCTGGTCCCTACAGTAGCTCTGGTTACAGTAGCATGGTTCCTAGCATGCGGTCTAGCCCTAGACACTCCAACCACGCCCCTTGGGGAGACTGTTCCACAGCCCGATGCCTTGCTGCCAGGAGACCCCTCTGGCTAGTCTGATAGAAGGGGTCTCTGGCAATTCAATCCCCTGGCCCCTCCACCTGGAGGCAGAGAGCTAAGGCTGGCTAAGTACTAGCCACGGGAAGGGATAAGGAGTCGAGGGGCATGGTCAGGCAGAGCAGGGCTCTGCACTCACCATCTACCAAGCCTCCTCTGACAACGGCGGGTCAGAGCTGCCTGCAGCACTAGGTGACCGACCCAGAGACATTGATTAGGTGCCACCGGTGAGCTCCACAGTGAGCCAGCAGATGGGACCAACCATGGCCAGAAGCAAGTCACAGCTCAGGGACAAGGGTAGCTTTGGAGACCAAGGCCTGAATTCTCAGTTATCCCAATCCCAGATTCCAAGGCCAGACGGGCCCTCTGATCATCCAGTCTGACCTTCTGCACAGCACAGGCCAGAGACCTGTCCCCTAGTAACCCCTAGGGCAGAGCTTAGGAAAACATCCCACCCTGCTGTACAAGTGGTCAGCGATGGAGAATCCAGCATGGCCCTTGGTAAGTTGTGCCAGTGGTTAGACATGCTCAGTTAAACGTTTACACCTTCTTTTCAGGCTGAATGTGTCTAGCTTCACCTTCCAGCCACGGGACGGCATTCGACCCCTCTGACAGACCGAAGAGTCCGTTATGAAATGTTTGTTCCCCACTGAGGCTCCCAACACCAAATGGGTAAGAATCTACCAGGATCCAACAAGATTGTCTGTGCTCTGGGCTCTCCTTTGTCATTGGCTAACACGGCGCGTTGCATCAGTAGATCTCAAAGCTTTACAGCCAGAGTCCCATTCACAGGTGGGGAAACTGAGGCACAGGGCAGGGACGTGACTTGCCTGAGGCCACTCAGAGCTGGGCCTAGAACCCAGGTCTCCGGAATAACAGTCCAGTGCTCTAGCCACTGCCCGTATGCTGGGGGGGGTAGGGGGTTAAAGGGGCCCTGATGTAAATGAAACTCAGGCCCAATTCTTCACTTGCACAGGCTCAGAGCTCCTCAGGTGGAGAGACCAGGGGAGTCCCGCTGGGGCCGAAGTCGGCTGCTAAGATGCTGGTATTCAAGCCTCCCGCTAGCCGGGAGCCCTTCGTGGAACGGGAACACGGTGCAGCTGCCCGGTGGCCGGCGCGCAAGGGGAGACCCCTGGGGCGGGAGCTGGGATCCTGCACAGGCACTGCGGCAGTCCCACGGCGGCTGGAGATTTTCCCGGAGGTTCAATGGTTAAGCAACACGCATGACAAACGGCTGAGCTCACAGGGCTGGGCTCCCGGGTCCTTTCAGCAGCGCAGGGAACTCCCCACGCTCAGCCGGGCTCCCCGTCAGCCTACCGGGGCCGAGGTCTGCCGGCAGCCAGTCATGTCTACACTGCGGCATGGCCTGGCTCTGCGCCAGACGGGAGCTAGCCATGGTGCTGCAGCGGCACCTGACCTCCAGTTACCTCCAGACTAGCTGAGTCACTCGCCTTTGTTCTCCCGGGTTTCATAACCGGCGGCAGCGACAGCCACGGAGGACGGGCAGGAGGGCGAGTGGTGCCCTGGGAAGGGGGCTTTGGCTTCAAGGGGCCTGAAGCCAGAGGAAACATTTGAATCTGCTGCTCTCCTGAGCTCCCTGGGCTTTGCCAGGTCTTCGCAAGGGCCCAGGACTGCAGGGAGCGAGGTGCCGCAGGAGGTGGGCAGGCGGCTAGCTGCCACTGGGCCCTCGCAGGGGTCAAACCGGTCACAGACAAAACCTGCCAGCTGCGCAGAGCCCCCTCCCTGGAGAAAGCCTGGCCAAGACAAGCCTCCTGAACGCAACAGCACCATGCAGCCTCTGCACCGAGCACCTCACCCCCAAGGCCTTGCATGGATCTCCGAGTCATTCCTCTCCCACTGGAAGAGACACTTCCTCTCCCGGGGGTGCACTGTTCATGTGGAGCTGCGGGGGGGGGGGGCGGACATCCATTGCCAAATGCCCGGGCTAGAGCTAAAGCTCACTTGGGGAACATGCTTTAGCAGGGCCGGCTCTAGGCACCAGCGTCCCAAGCATGTGCTTGGGGCCGCGCTTTTCAAGGGGCAGCATTCCTTGTTTTGCACTTGGGGCAGCAAAAAACCTGGAGCCAGCCCTGTGCTTTAGACTGGATGCTGTGTCTGGGGGAGTGTCGGGGAAGCGTCCCACATCTGACAATGCTGCGCGTTCTGGGCCAGCGCTACTAAACTGAGCTCTAATTTACAGCAGCCGCCATGGCTGTAAGAGGACAAATTGGAACGGATTGCAAGGTCAGGGTGATCTTAAAATACACAGCAATGTCTACCTGCAGTGGGGCTGCTCCGGTCAGCTGCTCACTGCAGAGCTGAGCTCATCTCCTCTCCCCAGTGACCCTTTGTTAAGGGACCACACAGATCTGAGCCCACCTGAACCTCCAGGGCGTGGACAGTGCAGTGATCACCCCCCCAGGACTCCCACATGGCTCCAGCTCATCACGCCAGACAGGCAGTGCTCCGAGGAGCTGCATCCCGCATTGATCAGACATGTCACTCACAGGGCTCATGAATTCCCTATGAATTATTCATGCTGATTAACATATACATGAGTCTCTTCAGGTAGCAAATATTGAGGTTCCCCAAACAGTGAGCGCTGGGGGAATGACACAGCTGAAGTGCTGAGTGCGAGATGCGCTCTGGAGCAGCAAGGTAAGGATTGCGTAAGCAAGGGTACTTGCTGCCCCATCCGGCCCCAGGTCAGCCAGAGCCTGGGACTGGAAATTAACCACTTCGATCCCAGTGGGTGGCAGAGTGCACCCAGGCACCGCTCCACGGGCAGTCCCCCTTCCCCCTCCTCTCATCCCTTCTGGGGGAATCTAGGGCTCTGTCCTGCTGCCACGTCCCAGCCAGGGGAGACCAGTCCTGGGGACGAGCCCCAAGCTCAGCCGCCCTGGAGCCTTTTCCCTTCCAGTGCAGAGGGGGGCTGACCCCCAACACACATGGGGAAACGGGCTGCCGAGGTTTCTGCCAGAAGCCCTGCTGGAAATGGGCATTGGCAACCTTCCAGGGCTGATTATTCCGCTTGGTAACTGGCCGCTCCCCCTCCTCCAGCCCCTTGGCCGATTAGTGGCAGGTGTTCTCCCGGCCCCTGGTGACCAGGATAATGACAAGGCATCCCCCCTTCCTCCTGACCGGGCGCACTCAGCCGCAGCTGCACACGGACTCCCCAGCACTGATTTGATTTCAGCCTCCTCGCCTCAGCCCTCCTGGGACAGGGCAGGAAGCAGCCTCGTCTCCTGGCAGACTTGCCTTGTTCTATATTCAGAGCAGGCACAGATGTCCCCCGGAGGCCTGATTGATGATTAGCTGTCGCACACTAAGTCACCGCAGCAGGTGTCTGGAGCAGAAGCGCCCAACAAAGTCTTTTACACATGCAATTGCCATGGAATTGCCAAGCTGGGTTAGCGAGCAGAGCCCCTCCCCTCTCCCACCCATTCATGTATTTCAGTGTCTGCCTGTAACAAAGACCTTCCCACATCCCAGAGCTGTAGCCTGTTTACCTACTAGCCATTCCCCCCTTGGCTGCAGGAAGAGGGCTGACAAATTCCCCCTATTATTGCTGCATTTCATACACAGGATGGTGCTAATCTAACAGGAGAAATCGGTTCCAGCTCCCACAAGACGCCCCTGACAAAGAGGGACCGAGGCTCTGAGCTGCTGCGACTCGGGAGGAGGCCCCTGGTTACATTTGACATGTGGGGGGCGGGGGGAGCAGAGCAGGGCGGCTCAGTGCTATTGTCCTGCCCCCGAACCAAGGTTGCTTGGTCGCCATGTCTCCAGAGCTGGAGAAAGCCCAGGCTGCAGCGTCTCCCCCAGACGGCTCCTTACGCAGCAGGACCCAGCCCCGGGCTCTGATGGTTCTGGCGAGATCTCCAGGGCTCCAGCCATGGAGGAGAGTCGGGGCAAAGGGGCGTGGCAGCCCCGGGCGCCCGACTTCCCTAGAGCAGCTCCCTTTCAGCCAGGCCCTGCTTTCTACTGCAGAGGTCAAAGGGTTTGCCCGAGGCCCATGGCAGGGTGCGGCTCCCGCAAGGTCACAGCCGACACTTGGCTCCCAGACCTCGGTTCTAGCCACTAGCTCTCACAGCCTGCATCAGAACAAAGCCAGTCACACCAGCAGCCCTGCCGGTGGCTGGGCAGGTTAAACCACGGCTGGAGACAGTCAGGCTTGGCAGCATCCGTCTGTGGGCGGGCAGGGCACCATCTCGGGGCTTCCTTCGTTTCCAGTTTTTCCTCCTAAGAGGCATCAGATGAAGGCTGCTCAACAAAGGGCCCCACCTCCTTTGCCTTTCCTGATGCTCCTGGCAGGAGCTGCCATGCTTACGCCAGTCACCCCGCAGGCAGGCCGGGCAGAGGTCACGCCCATAGCCCCGCAGTTAGGGGGCTGCGAGGCCCGCTCTGCCCGTCAGAGCCCTGGCACTCAGGATGCGCACGGGGCTCAGCCCCTCACACAGATGGGGGCTGGGCTGGCAGGGGCTTGTGCAGGGAGCAGTGTCACATGTCTGTGCCACCCACCCAGCCTGTGCCATCTGCAGCGGGTGACCCGCCCCCCAGAACACCTGGGCCAGCTCCCCCCAGGCACTGTGCTGCCCTGAGCGGCCACCCTGCCGCCCCCACCCAGCACTGCGGGGGGGATGGGGAGCGCACAGAGAAGATGCTGGAGCAGCCAGTCGCCCTGCGCCACAGCATCCCCCAGGCCCAGGGCTGCGCCCAGCCAGCCCCCGAGAAGCCCCCGGCCAGCGGATCCCAGCGAAGGCAGCCGGTGCCGTACCGGGCACAGCCCCAAGCGCCCGGCCCCGGTGGCGCAGCACTGAGCTCATCCCTTTGTTCCCAGCTCCGCAGTGCCGGGGCGTGGCTCGGTCGCTCCCAGCTGCCGCGCCGAGCGCCCCGAGCCGCCCGCCCGCCCCTGCCCCAGGGCGGGGCAGGCACCGCCCACCCCCTCCACGCCGGCCGCGGCTCGGCCCCCGCCCCCTCCTACGCCGGGCTGGGGCTGGCGATGCGGGCACGTCCCGGCCCCCCCGGCAGAGCCGCAGCCCGGGACCCCGCCAGGCGCCCCCGGGCCGGGTACCTTGGCTCCGATCTGGTTGCCGCACTGGCCCGCCTGGATGTGCACGATCTCCCTCATGCTGGCCCGGGGCGGCGGCTGTGGCTGGTGCAGGCGGCTCGGGGGCGCAGGAGCGGAGCGGGCTGGGGGCTGCGGAAAGCGGCCGGGCGCCTGCCGGAGCCTTTTATAGGCGCCTGCCGCTGCACCGGGCCGGCCGCTGACGTCACCCGGCCGGCCCACCAATCAGCAGGCGCCGCTACAAATGCTGCAACATCCCTGCAGCATCAGCACCAGCGCATCCCCCGCCCGGCGCCGCCACAATGCAACAGCTGCCGCGCCCCGGAGAGCAGCCGGGGACCCCCACATACAGCGGGGGGAGGGGCAGAGTCCCTTGGCCTGAGACCCGCGCTGGGGGGCGAGGCGGGGGTCAGTGCTGCGGTGGTTCCGGCACTGGGCTAGGATCCGGCTGGGCAGGGTTTGAGTCCTGGCCCTGCCCCAGTCTCTCTGGGTGACCTGCCCTAGTCACCGAGGGGGCCCCGGGGAGGGGCTCAGCGCTGGGTGCATGTGGGGTGCTGCTGGCCAGTCCAGATAGTGCCCCCCAGTGTCTCCATCCTTCCTTCCCCGCCTGTCTGGGCCCTTCCCCTTCTGAGCGCTCTGAAGCAAGGCCAGTCTATGCAGGGCCTGGCGCGGGGGGCTCTGGTCTCAGCTGCTGCCCTTGTACAACCAATGAAAGCAGGAGCAGCCCAAGAGGGGGGTGTTAGAGTTAATCAGGGTTATTGTGGAGGTGCCCAAGGACCCACCGAGATGGGGACCCTGTTGTACCAGGGGCTGGACAGACACTGGAGCAGCCAGTCCCTGTGAGTTCACAGCCTAGACAGACAGCGACAGGGGGGCGCAGCCCGCAGGCAGAGTGAGCAGGGTATGGAGGCAAACGGCCTGTCAGTGCCAGTCCCCGTGCTGCAGAAGGCGGCGTGCGGATCCTGGCCGTGCCCTGCCCAGCCCATCCTGCACCGAACCAGGAGAGGGCGGCTCCTTCCCGAGCTCTAGGTGTGTTCTGCTGGGTTTCTAGCCACACTCTGATACCTGGTTCTGTTCTGAAGCATAATAAGCCCTGGCTCTCCAGGAGCCCTAGTGGCCAGGAGTTCCACAGGTTAATTGTCCATTGTGTGAATGAGGATTTCCTGCCATCCTGATTTTCAGCTGGCTCGTTTCCCGTTCCGTGCATGGCCCCTGTTCCTGCCCAGCCGCTGTCTCTATCCCAGCCATTATTCCGGGTCATTGAGTCATGGCCCCTCTTATTCATCTCCCCCTGGGAGTCCGCCAGCAGCACCCGCCACATGGGAGGGGCACCGCGCTCCAGCCTCAGAGGCACCCGCTCTGGGGCAGGTGGGGAGCACAGGCTCTGGGACTCAGCTCCACCCACTTTTGGGGGCACGGTTCCTTTGGGTCACAACCCACCATGCAGGGACAGAGGCGATGCCTGTGTCTCCTGGCGATCCAACCCTCAGTGTTGGTGCGTGGAGCCTGGAGGGCTGCCCTCTCTTCTGCTCGGGCTGCGGGGGCAGCTGGGAATAGCCAGGACACAGCCTGACCTTGCCCATCTCCCCTCCTGCCCCACCTTGGAACACTCCGGCCCTGCTCCCTTGTCTCCGGGCTCTGACGGGGGAAGCCCAGAGCTGCTATAACTGGCTCTGTGCCTGCCCCAGAGGCCCCTGTGCTGGGGGTATTTCAGGGAGGGGGCTTCATGGCCCCTTTTGCAGCCACTTGGTAGTGGTGGGTGCAGGGCCGAGGTGAGTTCCTCCCTGCCCCTGGCCTCGCTGGCTCCTGCCTTGCACCTTGCATAGTCCCTTAGCTAGCCAGGCCTCGCCACGTCTCTTTTGCCTTGCTTGGCCCTGCACCGGGTGATCCTGTGTGTGTGGTGGGGG